GATCCGTCCTCCTGTTGCTTCTCTCCCCCCACGTTTCGTTGTTCGTTCCTCCTCCGTTGGCCCGGCTCGCCCCGTCTTCGCAGTTTCGTGCTTGCGGCCCCCCCTGACTGCGCCGCTGCATGTGGCGACCTTGCGCGCCTGTGGGATTAATCTGCACCGCCGGCCACGCGTCTCGCGCCCGAAAACGGGGGCCCAGCTTGGACTTTTAGCCTCGGTGGGCAGATTCGCGCGCAATCCGACCGTCGCGCGTTCCGCACCTAGCAGGTTTCGCACTTCGCAAGCTTTCCCCCAATGCGCGGGTTCGACGGTGGCTCCTGGATCTAATCCGCGCCCCTGGGCCCCTCCTGTGGCTTTCTTGGGCCCGCCATCTTGAGGTTCCAGGAGCCTTTCGGAAGCGAACAGGCGAGAAGGCAAACAACATTGAAAGCGACGCGTGCGTGAATGAGTTTTGCCTCAGACTCTTGAGGACTTCCTGGCCGTTTCGAGTCGTATTGGAGCGGTCTCGGGGCCTACCGGAAGCATGTCGGAGGTCATCCTTGGACCATCTTGGGCTACCATGTGCCATATCGAGAGCCAGGTTGGGCTATATGAACCCGTCTTGGGGCCATCCTAGACCAAGAACTCTCTCACGCCGCGCGCCCCCTCCCTCAACACCCGCAAAGGGGGGGGGGGGAAAGGGGCTGGGGTAAGCGCCGCCCCGACAGGGAAGGAGGGGGGTGGAAGAACGAACTCGCTAAACCAGTCACGCCGTAAAGGCTTGGTCGGACTGACAAAGGATGGCGGCGTCGGGAGCGCGAGCGCGTCGTAGTTTACAAGGGATCGCGGCCTCGAGAAGGCGGGCCCGTCGTATTTTTGCGCGCCCCAGGGCCTCCCAGAAATGCAAGCAACGTGGGAGGCTCCGAGGTGGTAAATCACAAATTTTCTGCGAAGGGTCCTCGCGGCGGCCAGAACCTATACCGTTGGAAACTAGACGTGCTTCAGGTTGCAGGAATACCTCGGCCTCGTACAGTCGGGGCCCTGAAGAAGGAACCCTTTTCGTTGGGGAGGAGCTCCGCGTTCCTTAAGTGTGTCACATCTTGCCTCAGGTTTTCCCATGTTCTCGATAGGAAATCGAAATTGAGCTTATGGAAAAAAAGGGGCATCGTTCCTTATTTAGGGTTCCTTAGGTCAACGCCCCGACTGTAGCCTGTTCGCCCCCATGACGGCCGACGGATTTTGAGTCCTCGGTCTGGGGGAGGTCGTGTTGATAGGGAGCTCCACCTGCTGATCGCAAGGGGCCGGGGCGCCGCCTGCACCCCGGCGGCATGCGGTGGATTTTCGGCGTTGGCAAAGACGCCCCGTTCTTTCCTATTAAGGCACTTGAGGTGCGGACGGCTGTCCTCGCACCCCTATCGCCGACCTCGCACCCCCAGAGGCGCGAAGTTCATCGCGCATCGCGCGTCGCGGCCTGCGCCTGGGGGGCTGCCCTTGTCTGAGTGGGCAGCGCGAGGGCGTCATGAGCTGGAGGCGGCATGTGAAGCTGCGGGGCGGCATGAAAAAGTGTTCGGCCCGCGGTCCAGGTGGCGTGGCGGCCACGAAGTCATGTGTATGACAAACCTGCGGCGGCGATTTTGTCATACACAGTTAATTGCTGTTTTTGAAATCGCAAATGTGTCACACCACCTTCATACAGATACCATGCCGAATTCATATTGCACGCATGCCATCATCCATGCTGCACGTCGCCCGGTTGCGATGTTCGGGGGCGCTTGTCTTTCAGTCTGATGGATCATTGCCCGGGGGTGGCAGACTGGTTATGCTCAGAAAACACAATAGTAGGTTGGTTCCCGCAGCTGATTTATGTGCTTACGCCACACCGCCGACCACGTGGGGAATTGGCGGTTGTGGCAGGTTGCTCCTGAGAGCCTCTTGGGCGCCTTTTTGGGGCTTTTGATGCCCTTGTGGGCGCTTCATAGGGGCCTGTGGGGGGGGCCTTTTGGAGTTTCGTGGAGGGTTTTCACGGGTCTCGTGGGGCCGAGGGCTCGAAATGCAGGCTCGCTCGGGTTCCCATTGGGGCCCTTCTTGCGGCGGTCTAGGGGCTCTTTTGGCCATGCTGGAGGCCTCTGAGGCGGTTTTTGGGGCCGTGTGCGAGTTCCCTTTGCTTGTTTTAGGGCTCTCTTGGGGGCCTCGGGGGCCGTCTGTGGGGATCTTGGGAGCCTTTTGGGCCGTCGTGGGGCTTCGGGGAACCGAAAAGGTGAGAACGGTCATTTGTTAGGTGGAAAAACGGGTTGAACATCAATGAGTGTTTGCTCGTGGGGCCCTCTCTTGAAGGCGTCTTGGGGCCTGTTGGGGGCGTCTTGGGCCGTCTGGGGGCTACTTGGTCGTCCTGGAGGAGCCGTCGGCGACTGGGGCCCTCTTGGACAATCTTGGGAGCCTCTTGGGGCTTATAGGCTCGTTGAGGGGGCCTCTATCCTCCTATGATGCGGTGGGACCGGGCCCGGGGGATCTGGGCGGGCCCCCCCTCCAAGTCGTCCGTGCCCGCGTCTGGGTGGGGGTTTCGGGGCAGGAGTACGCATCTCACGCGCTGAGGACACCCCAAGGGGTCGGGTGATGTTGCCGCCACGTGCACATGGCTGTGCTCTTTCCTGGGGGGGATGTTGGGCCTGCACACCCGGGGTAATATGATGCACCCTTCCCCGTCGTGTAGCAGACTAATACATAGTGAGGGCGGACCGCCCGAAGATGATCCAGGTCGTATCGCAAAACGCATGTCGTTTTGGAATAATTCTGATGATCAGGGTGGTTGGGGGGGTTGTCTTTGCTGCGGTTCGGCCGTCAGTCGAGGGGGCGGTTGTCTATGAACACGGAGCAGAGGTAGTAGATCTTTTTCCGATGGGGAAGATCGGGCTTGGACGAGAGGCCTAACCCATCGACGCCCAGAGGGTTGGTGGGATGTTGTTTGCGGGTGTAGTAATTGGTCTCGTGTAGACTGTGAAGGGCCTTCGTCGCAGGAGCTGCACTCATCTCGAAATCTTGGTCGGGCTGATGCTCAGGAGAAGCTTGTCGCGGGGTGGTTGAAAGGGTTCAGGAGGTGGAAAGGATTTGGTGGGCCCGTTGACCAGTCTTCAGGCCATGTAGGTTAGGAACGGCACCTCAATTTGGAGTGCGCGGAGGAAAGCCAGAGATCATGCCTCCGACGCGCCACTGGTTGATTCCTGGGCCGTCTTGGGCGGGTCGAGTGCCGTCTCGATGCCATGTGGGGTCGTCGTCGTTTTGGCTGCTTTGCTGTGCGAGAAACGGAGCGGGGAACCGCGCGAGATCCCGCGTGTACATTCGGCGGGCATCTGTCAAACAACGTTTTTGGAACCGTCGTGTGGGTCTCGGAGCGAGCTCTGGGGCGCGTCGGGGCCCTCTTGGGCAGTCTGCCGCGCGCTCGCCAAAATGCCCCCGGGGCCCACAGCACTCGCGGCACAGCCCACATCGGCAGCAGTTTTTTCGCGGCTGGCATTTTCAATGTTCCCCGTGTGCGTACAGGGGAACGGGCGAGAACCGACGTGCATCAACAGCAGGCAGATGTTCACATTCCAGAACAAAAAGCGATGATCGATGAGCCTTCCGCGCATTCCGCCACCTGCGCCTTGGCTGCGGGTCGACGGGGTCTCGTGGGAGGCGTTTCGGGGGCGTTTGGGAAGCAGTTTTTGAACCTCTTGGGGGCCTTTTGGGGGCTTCAGAAGGGTTTTTCGAGGGCCTCGCGGAGCTCCCTGGGTGCCAGTCGTGGGCCTCTTGGGAAAATTGGGCGGCGGTGCCGGGTAGAAGGCTCGACGTGTCCGTGTGGGTTTCCCTTCTGGACCCCCTCTTAGGGTTTTTTGAGCAGTCTTGGGGGGCCTTTCGGGTCGTCTGAAAGCCTCCTGGGGGGCCTCTTGGGTCGTCTGGGGGTGACCAGGAGGCTTCTTGATTTCTCTTGGATGTTGTGATCGCAGGGGAGGCAAATGTGCTAAGCATGCAGGTTTTCCCATCGCAATGGGGCGCACTTTGTTTATTGAATCCGTCTTGGGACGCCTCTTGAGGGCTTCTTGGGGCGTCTGCGTGGCCTCTTGGGCCGTCTGGAGGCCAGCGTGGGCGTTTTCGATCGATCTTTCGGCGGCTCGTAGTCCTCTTGGACCGTCCAGAGGGCCTCTGGGTGTTTCCTTGGCCGGTTTTGGGGCCTCTGTCCCCCCGTTTTGGAGAGCCCTCTGTGCGGCTTCTTGGGCCGTCTTGGGGCGACCCAGGAGGCTTCTGGGGTTTCATTGGATGTAGTGTGCCCCGCTGGAGGTCGCAGTCCAAGTCGCCTGGGCGTGTTCGTCGTTGTGCCTTCGGGTTTGCCTCAGTCAGCAGGCTGCAGATGGCATCCCGTAGCCGTCTGATTCTCTATGATGAGCGCGTCAGCGCGAAGCGCTTCTATTCGCCGTGACTTCCCAGCCAGCCAACAACAACTCAAGTAAGTTCGCACGACGGTTTTTCTTCATGGGCATCTTCTGCGGGTTCGTGGGGGCCGACCTGTGCACCACCACCGTGCCCGGCAAGGTTTTTTTTTTTGTTGTTGTTTTTTTTGTTTCGTTGCACTCCGTTTCTAAGTTCGTTTAGGCATGCCCGAAACGACCATACCCAAAACGACCACTCCAAGCTCGTTCAGGCATGCAACTCATTGGCATGCCGCTGTGCCGATGTATAATACTAGCGCGCGTCCAGGTAGCCCACACGCTCGCCTTGCGCACGCAGGCCTAATTTGGCCTCCAGAGTCTTGAGGTAATCAGACGGAGCCCAGGGCAAGGGCCATCCTGAACCCCAGAACCACAGATGTACTCAGAGTACAGACCTCCCAGGCCTCGCCCAGGGGCCTGTAGGCAGTGTCTCCGGGCCCACGCAGGGTCCGGATCTTCGTGGGCGTCGGCTCCATGGCCAGCCCAGGAGGCCGTGTCCACCGATCTCGTGGGCCTGGAGCAAGCCCGCCGCGGGTGCTGGCCGGCCCCCCTCCCTGCGAGGAGAGGAGGGAGAAGAAAGACAAGAAGGAGAAGAAGGACAAAAAGGACAAGAAGGAGAAGAAGGAGAAAAAGCAGAAAAAGGCGGGCCGGGCACAACCTGGGGGATGCCAGGCTTCGGGCGACGAGATCCCTGGCCAGGCTCATCCTGACACCAGGATCTGTGTACATACGCCCTCCGGGCCGAGCCAGGAGGGCGTGGTTCATGCACCGCTGCTGGGTTCAGGATGGGCTTGGCCAGGGAGAAGCGGCTATGCATAGATTTCGCCGTTGGGCTCCTCTCCCCTCAAGGGGGGGGCCGTCAGGGCCGCCGACGCGGTGGGCTCTCCTCCAGGAGCGGGAGGGCCAGGAGCCCTGCACCCCCCAGCTTGCGGCGGGCCGCAAGGGCAAGAAGGAGGGGGAGGACATCGGGCGACGCCATCTGCACGTACCCACCGCCCCTGGCCCCAGGCCCATCCTGGGCCTGGCGTCCTGGCAGGTCAAATGTTCTCGGGCCGCCCAGGGAAGCGTCCTGGCTGGTACCTGCGGGCGCCCCAGGGAAGCGTCCCTTTGGGGTCGCCCCGAGCCCAGGGAAGCGTCCTGGGATGTACCTTCGGGCGCCCCGCCCCAGGAGGGCGCAGCGACAGATCTTCGGGCTGCCCCGGGAAGCGTCCTCACAGGCACACCCTCGGGCTGCGTGTGTGCCTCCCTGGCCAGGCCATAATTAGGGAGGTGCGCCTTCACCTCTCGTGGGCCCGGGGCGGGCCTGGCCAGGGGCGGTGGGCGCGCACGCAGACCTCGCCGCCCCAGGACCGGGGGCCGGACGGCCCCGACGACGCCGCCGACCCGGGGCGCCGCGCGGCGCGGCGGCTGGAGGCCGTGACGCAGCCCGAGCTGCCCAGCGGCCCCTCCACCTCACGGGGCAGGATCGGCGGCGAGCGACGGGGGGAGGGGATAATTAACCCTTAGGTCCTGGCGTCTCCGTTTTGTTCGAGCCAGGCGTTTTCGTTTCTCTCGGGCCCCAGGACCCTCACAGATCGGTCCAGCTCGCGAAGCGAAGCAGGAAGACGGGTTCTAGGGCTCCGGGCGTGATGTTCTACGAGGTTGTTGCATGTGTGTCGCCACGTCGGATCTCAGGGAAGGAAGAGGCCTTCTCTCCGAAGGCGGCGGGGCTTCTCGGAGGCCCTGGCGCCCTCTGAGAGGCCTGTTCTGCCTCAAGGGCTAGAAAACTTCTCAGAAGGCCCGGGGGTCACCACCCACCAAACCACTCCAACCTGACCCGAAGGCCTCCATTTGCCCGCCCTGTCCGGTGGGGGGCTTCTGAGCCTTCCGAGAAGGCCCTCCCCTCTCGTTTCCCCCCCCGCGCGCGCCGCCAACAGGAGGGAGGGGGAGGGCGGGGGCCCCGACGGCGCAGACGGCGCCACCGACCTGGGTCACCACCACGCGGCGCGGCCCCGCGGCGAGGCCGCGGCGCCGCCCGGGGCGTCCGCGGCCGAGCCCTGCGCCGCACGGGGCGGCGGCGGCGGATCGGGCCGCCCCGGGCCCCCCCCCGAGCTGCGGCAGCCGCGCGAGGAGGCGCCCCGCAGGGCAGGGGGTCAGGAGCGGAGGAGACCCGGCGGGCGCGCTCGGAACCTGGGGTCGGCGGCCTGCCACGGGAGGGGGGGAAGCGAGAGGGCTCGGAGGCTCCCCGGCCTGCCGCGAAGTCTCCGAAGCCTTCTGCGCAGGCACGGAGCACTTCTCAGAAGAGCGGCGTGCTCCTGAGAGGCCCCGCCGCCTTCTGAGGAGGGCTTCTGCTTCTCACTTCCCCCCCTCGCTCGCCGCCGTTGTAGGCCTCGGAGATGGGTTTGGTTGATCGCGCCGCACAGCCGATGCCTTGCCGATGGTGCTCTATGTGGAGCCCGAAACCTCCACGCCGACGTCGCCGATGCATCGCCGACGTCGCTGGTGCATCGCCACCGCAGAGACTCGGCGGGCGCGCACAAGCACGCCGGACTCTCAGGCCGCTTCGTCCATCGGTTAGAGCTCAGGGTCGAGCTGTCGCTCGGGCTCGGGCTCGGGCTCGGCGGGCTCGGCGGGCTCGGGCTGATGCTCGGGGGGCTCGGGCTCGGATCGGCGTGGACGCTTCTTGGCCCAGGCAGGAAGGCGTGCACACACCTAGCAGAGGGGGCCTCGGCGGGGCGCGCGCAGCCTCGGGGGCCCCAAAGGTCAGGAGAGGAGCCGCTCCCGTCGCTAATGCTCGTCCTGGAGTGCCCTCGTCGCCACTTGCTCGCAATTTACTGAAGAATAGCGCCCTTGCGTTGGAATTCCCCGCAATTTGCTCAAGCGCCGCGCTCCCGACACCCAGGCACCCAGGAATCGCACCCGTTGTGGCCCCATGTGCATGCCTTTCGTGGCCCCGCTGTCGCCGTTTGTGGCCCCCTCACTGTCCTACGTGGCCCAGTTGCTACCCTCAGTGGGCCCATCGTTGCCTTCTGTGGCCCCGCATTATCTGCCCTCCGTGGCCCCCGCTCGTTCGCGCTCTTCGTGGCCCCATACGCATTCCCTTCGTGTCCCCGCTGTCGCCCTTCGTGGCCTACTTCGTGTCTTTCGTGGCCCTGCTGTCGTTTTCTCTCGCTCTCGCTTTCGCTCGTCGTCGCCGTCGTCGCCGTCGTCGTCGTCGTCGTCGTCGTCGTGGTCGGTCCCCTGTCCGTCCCTCTTGGGGTCGGGTCGACGGTCCGCGGCCGCCCCGCCGATCAGCGCTGCCGCTGGCCAGGCCGACGGTCCGCGGCCGCCCCGCCGCTTGCCGGGGCCCGGCCTGCAAGGAAGAAAGGTATACCCCCCAAAAGGGGTTCGATCGAAGACGCAGAGGGCGGGTATCGAGGATTTGGGAAAGTCGCGTTATTGGACACTCGAGCAGATAAGGGCGAACTGTCTTAAACTGATTGTTGTTGCTGCTGCTGCTGCTGCTGTTGTCGTCGTCGTCGTCGTCGTCGTCGTCGTCGTTGTTGTTGTTGTTGTTGTTGTTGAACATTATTTATTCTAAAAAATAATTATTGTTGGGCCCCCTGGTGCACGCCCCCCCTGCGCCGCCTAGGCCGCAGCTACATTTTCATCATTTTCGTGAGGAAGCCTCAGGTAAAACGATGTGATCCAGATCCGGTTGTTTTGTTGTAATCCGTTTTCCCTTGCAAAAAACACTATAAAATGACATTTCTTGTTCTAATATAATCAAATTTCAAGAATCCCTTGCAAAAAATAAGGTAAAGTGGACATTCGCGCGCGCAAGACGAAATCCTTCCAAAAGCTTAGTGTTCGGAGCGATTTTAACATAAAAACATCAAAAAACCAATGGTTTTTCAACAAAAAAATGTCAAAATCTCATCCCGCGCGCTCTTGCGGATTCGTAGGAAACCCAACATTTTTTAAACATTTCTGTCAAACGGGCTTTTGCGAGCAACTTTTTCGAACTTCTGCAACAACGGTTGCGCACCTGCCAGGGCCATCATCCCTGTCAAATAATACCATGCGGGACACATTCGTTTTTTCTTCGCGCGCGCACGCCGTCGTCGTCGGCCGCGGGGCCCTGAATAGTAGCCACGGTCGTCCGCATGCCACGAAGTGAAGTGTCCGAACGTCATAGGGCGGGAAGCTGGGTGTGGGTGGTGGCGAAGAGTCGTTTGGAAATTTGGTAGAGCTTGAACCGGCCCCCCCACAAAGTGGGGGTATTGCCCGCCTCCTATGAAAACCCTGGCACTGGTGAGAACGGAGTGTCCCCACGTGCTAGTAATTGTTGTTGTTGAACATTATTAATTCTAAAGAATAATTATTGTTGGGACCCCTGGTGCACGGCCCCCCTGCGCCGCCTAGGCCGCAGCTACATTTTCATCATTTTCGTGAGGAAGCCTCAGAAAAGATGTGATCAAGATCCGGTTGTTTTGTTCCCCCCCGCTTTCCCTTGCAAAAAACACTATAAAATGACATTTCTTGTTCTAATATAATCAAATTTCAAGAATCCCTTGCAAAAAATAAGGTAAAGTGGACATTCGCGCGCGCAAGACGAAATCCTTCCAAAACCTTAGTGTTCGAGCGATTTTAACATAAAAACATCAAAAAACCAATGGTTTTTCAACAAAAAAATGTCAAAATCTCATCCCGCGCGCTCTTGCGGATTCGTAGGAAACCCAACACTTTTTAAACATTTCTGTCAAACGGGCTTTTGCGAGCAACTTTTTCGAACTTCTGCGACAACGGTTGCGCACCTGCCAGGGCCATCATCCCTGTCAAATAATACCATGCGGGACACATTCGTTTTTTCTTCGCGCGCGCACGCCGAAATCTCCAAAAACCATTGGGTTCTGTGGGTGTGTACCCCACGCCAGTGTAGTAGCCACGGTCGTCCGCACGCCACGAAGTGAAGTGTCCCAACGTCATAGGGCGGGAAGCTGGGTTTGGGTGGTCGCGAAGAGTCGTTTGGATATTTGGTAGAGCTTGTAATGCCCCCCCACGAAGTGGGGGTATTGCCTGGTGTCGTATGAAAACCCTGGCACTGGGGAGAACACCACGCGTTCGGGTAAAATGATTGTTGTTGTTGTTGTTGTTGTTGTTGTTGTTGTTGATGTTGTTGTTGAACATTATTATTCTAAAGAATAATTATTGTTGGGGCCCCTGGTGCGCGGCCCCCTCGCCGCGCCTAGGCCGCAGCCACATTTTCATCATTTTCGTGAGGAAGTCTCAGGCAAAACGTGGGTGTCCGGATCCGGTTGTTTTGTTGTCCCCCGTTTTCCCTTGCAAAAAAAAGCTAAAGTGGACATTTCTTGTTCTAACATAACCAAACTTCAAGAATCCCTTGCAACAAATAAGGTAAAGTGGACATTCGCGCGCGCAAGACGAAATCCTTCCAAAACCTTAGTGTTCGTAGCGATTTCAACATAAAAACATCAAAAAACCAATGGTTTTTCAAAAAAAAATGTCAAAATTTCATCCCGCGCGCTCTTGCGGATTTGTCGGAAACCCAACACTTTTTAAACATTTCTGTCAAATGGGCTTTTCCGAGCAACTTTTTCGAACTTCTGCAACAACGGTTGCGCACCTGCCAGGGCCATCATCCCTGTCAAATAATACCATGCGGGACACATTCGTTTTTTCTTCGCGCGCGCACGCCGTCGTCGTCGGCCGCGGGGCCCTGAATAGTAGCCACGGTCGTCCGCATGCCACGAAGTGAAGTGTCCGAACGTCATAGGGCGGGAAGCTGGGTGTGGGTGGTGGCGAAGAGTCGTTTGGAAATTTGGTAGAGCTTGAACCGGCCCCCCCACAAAGTGGGGGTATTGCCCGCCTCCTATGAAAACCCTGGCACTGGTGAGAACGGAGTGTCCCCACGTGCTAGTAATTGTTGTTGTTGTTGTTGTTGTTGTTGTTGTTGTTGTTGTTGTTGTTGTTGTTGAACATTATTCCTTCTAAAGAATTATTATTGTTGGGACCCCTGGTGCGCGACCTCTGCGCCGCGCCTAGGCCGCAGCTACATTTTCATCATTTTTTCGCGAAAGCTTCAGAAAAGTGGATGAGCTCCGGATCCGGTTTTTTGTTGACGCTCGTTTTCCCTTGCAAAAAACAATAGAAAATGACAATTCTTGTTCTTACTTGATCAAATTGCAAGAATCCCTTGCAAAAAATAAGGTAAAGTGGACATTCGTGCGCGCAAGACGAAATCCTTCCAAAACCTTAGGTTTCGTAGCGATTTTAACATAAAAACATCAAAAACCCAATGGTTTTTTAAGAAAAAATTGTCAAAATGTCCTTCCGCGCGCGCTGTCCGAATCCCACAAAACCAATGGTTTTTCAACATTTATGTTACATGAGCTCGCGCGAGCTACTTTTTCTTGTTCTAACATAATCAAATTTCAATAATCCCTTGCAAAAAATAAGGTAAAGTGGACATTCGCGCGCGCAAGACGAAATCCTTCCAGAACCTTAGGTTTCGTAGCGATTTCAACATAAAAACATCAAAAACCCAATGGTTTTTCAAAAAAAAATGTCCAAATTTCATCCCGCGCGCGCTGTCCGACTCCCACAAAACCAATGGTTTTTCAACATTTATGTTACATGAGCTCGCGCGAGCTACTTTTTCTTGTTCTAACATAATCAAATTTCAATACTCCCTTGCAAAAAAAAGTAAAGTGGACATTCGCGCGCGCAAGACCAACAAAAAACACGACGATCTCAGGAACTTGCCCCAAAAATGTGACCAACTCCGCTCTCTCTGTCTCTCTCTCTGTCTGCTCTCTGTCTCTCTCTCTGTCTGTCTGTGTCATGTATTGTATGTCACAATTGCAGGATGCTGGGCACACGCGCGCCCCGAATAAGTGACCAAGTTCTGTGGGTGTGTACCCCACGCCAGTGTAGTAGCCACGGTCGTCCGCACGCCACGAAGTGAAGTGTCCCAACGTCATAGGGCGGGAAGCTGGGTTTGGGTGGTCGCGAAGAGTCGTTTGGATATTTGGTAGAGCTTGTGAATGCCCCCCCACGAAGTGGGGGTATTGCCTCGCGTCGCATGAAAACCCTGGCACTGGTGAGAACACTGAGCGTTCGGGTAAAATGATTGTTGTTGTTGTTGTTGTTGTTGAACATTATTAATTCTAAAGAATAATTATTGTTGGGGCCCCTGGTGCGCGCCCCCCCCGCCGCGCCTAGGCCGCAGCCACATTTTCATCATTTTCGTGAGGAAGTCTCAGGCAAAACGGGGTATACCAGATCCGGTTGTGTTGTTACGATCGGTTTTCCCTTGCAAAAAAACTAAAAAGTGGACATTTCTTGTTCTAACATAATCAAACTTCAAGAATCCCTTGCAACAAATAAGGTAAAGTGGACATTCGCGCGCGCAAGACGAAATCCTTCCAAAACCTTAGTTTTCGTAGCGATTTTAACATAAAAACATCAAAAAACCAATGGTTTCTCAAAAAAAAATGTCAAAATTTCATCCCGCGCGCTCTTGCGGATTCGTAGGAAACCCAACACTTTTTAATCATTTCTGTCAAACGGGCTTTTGCGAGCAACTTTTTCGAACTTCTGCAACAACGGTTGCGCACCTGCCAGGGCCATCATCCCTGTCAAATAATACCATGCGGGACACATTCGTTTTTTCTTCGCGCGCGCACGCCGTCGTCGTCGGCCGCGGGGCCCTGAATAGTAGCCACGGTCGTCCGCATGCCACGAAGTGAAGTGTCCGAACGTCATAGGGCGGGAAGCTGGGTGTGGGTGGTGGCGAAGAGTCGTTTGGAAATTTGGTAGAGCTTGAACCGGCCCCCCCACAAAGTGGGGGTATTGCCCGCCTCCTATGAAAACCCTGGCACTGGTGAGAACGGTGTGTCCCCACGTGCTAGTAATTGTTGTTGTTGTTGTTGTTGTTGTTGTGGTGGCGGTGGCGCTATACATCGCGACGCATGGGCCCTGATGTCCCACGTCACGGAACACATTAAATCGTCCAGCTCGGGAACAATGGCACGTCAGGGTCCTGTGCGCTCCGCCGAAGGAGCAGGCCGCGAGAGGAGGAGCGCACGCAAGAGGCCGAGAGGTGCCGCGTCGAAGAGCTCGAGGCCCTGCGGCGGGAGGCCGCCTCCTACCCCCCTCCGCCTCCTCCTCCGTCTCCTCCTCTTCCCCATACTCCTTCGTTTCCTCCTCCTCCTCCTCCACCTCCTCCTCCTCATTCTCTTCTTCTCTCTCCTCCTCCTCCTTCTGACGAGCTGACGAGCTGAAGGCATGAAGTGCCGTCGGATGTTGCCCTCCTCCTCCTCCTCCTCCTCCTCCTCCTTTTCCCCCTCGTCCTCCTCCTCCTCCTCCTCCTCCTCCTCCTCCTCCTCCTCCTCCTCCTCCCTCCTCCTCCGCCTCGCAGCAATCGAACTCACAGCATGTCGAGCGTGTAGCAGCGCATTGCAAGGCGAAGCGGCGACAGGGGCAGAGCAATGTTTCTGGGGCCCTAGCCCGAGCCAGAGTTTTCTCTCCCAGCAGTCGCAATCGGTCTTGAAGGGCTTGAGATCTGAACTGAGCTCCTCCTCCCCCCCCCCCTCCTCCTTCGCCTCCCCCTCCGTTCCCCCCGTCTCTGCGCGGAGGGGCGCGGCAGCGCCCGCGCGCCGGCGGCGCAGCAGCGCCCCGCCGCGGCTGCCGCCGCGCCGGAGCCGCCGGTGGCGCCCGCGGAGGCCTCCGAGAGCTCGGGCGCCGAGCGCAGGGTGGCGGAGGCTATGGGCCCAGACCCCCTCGCGCCGTGAAACAATCACGACGGAAGGTTTTTCGCTATTTTCGGCCTCTGGGGGCCCTGACCGGGCCTCGGGACCGTCAGAAAACGACTCAGGGTGAAAAGCCGGTCCCGGGGAAGGGGTCCAGACCTCTGGAGGCCGACGTCATCACAAAAGTCATGGCGTCGGGGGTCCGAGGAGGGGAGAAGCCCCGAGATCCGGGCGCTACGATTGATTCCCATCGCGGGCGTTTTCGCCTGGATTCGGGCCCTGGGGCCCTCACAAGTGGATCCGGCTCGGGTGGCGGAGGCGCGTGGGGAGAGACGCGCGGACCATGAGCTGGCGATCTGATTTTCTCAGCGGGCGTTTTGATTGTTGTCTTTCCTCCGATTTGGGCCCTCGGGGCTTGTTCCCGAGCCCCGGGACTATCAAAATGCATCTGGGGCGAAGAGTTGGCCCCTGGGAAGGGGTCGGGGCCTCAGGGGGCCGCGCATTGAACAAATTTGATGATGTTCTGAGCCTCGAGGGAAGAAGCAGAGCCCCCAAGATCTGGGCGTTGCAAGTTGTTCCCACCGGGGCCATAGGGCCCTCCCAGATCGATGCGGCTCGAAGAGCGCCGCAGAGATATGGGGTCCAGGGCTCTGGTCGTGACTTGTTCGCGATGCTGCAGTTTCTTCGCAGCGTAGGATCTCAGGGAACGAGCTGGCCATGACCAAGATGTCGCGGGATCTTGTCGACGCCGATTTTGGCCATGGTCCATGCCAGCGTTTGCCAAGCCGTGAGGCTGTTGTCCACGAGTCGGAGGTAATCATGATGTACGGTGACCGATCCGTAGCCATTTTGGCTCAAGGTCGGCGGCTCAGATAGAGCCTGGCCTCCGTTTCTCAGAGCCTCGCCTGATTCTAGTGGTGTTGGCCCTCCGCGATGGCTGCCGCCGTCGCCTCCCCAGATGTGCTCCGCCTGGGCGACGGCACCGAGATCAGCCTCGCCAAGGTGCCTGGCGTTGATGAGTCCACATGGGGCGAGGTGAAGGACTACTTGCAGGGCAACCCGGACGTGGCCAAGAAGCTGCAGGCCTTCTCGAAGGACCCCGAGGCGATGCGAGGCTGGCTGCAGACGCAGGCCATGTCGGACCACTACCAGAGGAAGCTGGGGGGCGCCGACGACGAGGTGCAGAGCCGCATGAGGGCGCTGGAGCAGGACCCGGAGCTCGCCCCCATCATCGAGGATATCAAGAAGCACGGGATGGAGGCAGTCATGAAGCACTACCAGGACGAGGAGCTGATGCTCAAGTTCAGCAAGGCCATGGGCGGGGTGCCGGAGGAGCTCAAGCCCGCGCTGAAGAAGATCGACGAGACGCCCCTCTCGATGCACGAGGCGGCCAAGATGGGCGACCTCAAGGCAGTCCAGGAGCACATTGAGAAGAAGAGGCCACTGGACACCCAGGACCTGAGGGGCATCACTCCGCTGGGCTACGCCGTCGGCGGAAACCGTATCGCCGTCGTCAAGTTGCTGCTGGACAGCAGGGCCAATCCATTCGCGGTCGACTCCAATGGCAACTCCGCGCTTCACTACGCGGCTGGCTACGGGCGCAAGGAGTTGGTAGAGTATCTGCTCAAGACAGGTGGCAGCGTGGCGCAGGCCAACGCTCAGGGCCGGAAGCCGCTCGACGTCGCAACGCAGAACAGGCACGATGCTGTGATCCAGGTTCTGCGGGCTCACGGGGCGCAGTGATCTGTTATCTTTATTGTTCGCCGACGCCTTCAAGTTGTGCTCGTCTGCTTTTTGTGTCGCGTTCGCACGGCCGATCGGCCAGGCGCACGTCGAAATGTGTGCCCGTGGTTAGATGTTTTTTTTTTTTAACTTGTGGAGGGATGCCCTGGAGCGCCTCCCAAAGTCGACGGCTACCTCACTCGGTGAGCAGCCGTGCGTCTACATGACAGGCGTGCGTAAAGCCTGCAGAGTTCGATGAACTCCCCCAAAAACGCACAGTGACCGAGATTGACACGGGCGTTCTGCGTACAGTCTTGATCATGGCCTTTCCCAGACCTGCGACGTCTTGACTTCTCCATACGGGGTCCCTGGAGCTCTGGGCCCGTCCCATCCGGTCGGCTCTTCATCCCGAGTGTCTGTTTGTTCCCATCCTGGGGCCCGGCGAGGGCCTCGAAAACCTCCCGCCGTGATTTTTGCCACGACGCGAGCGTGCCTGGCCCTGAGATCCGACGTCGCGAAAAAACTGAAGCATCGGAAAAAATTGGCGACCAGGGCCCCAGACCCCAACCTTCGGTGTCATTTTTCGAGCCTGGTCGACCTGGGAGGGTCTCGAGGCCCGAAACTGGGCTAACACGTCCTTTGTGAAGAAGCTGCATCGCCAGGATCCCTGGGGGGTCCCTTGCCCTCCAGAGGAGCGCCGGCGGAGGGTTGCCGAGAGGGCCCTCCGGGAGCTGGCGCCGGCGGCCTCCCGTCAGGCAGGCCTGCAGGATCGGGGCGCATCGCCCCAGAGAGCGCTCCGGAACGCTCTCAGAGCGCTTCCGGAGCGCGCTTGCGGGGCCCAAAAGTAGACACCAGCACCAGCTCCTTCGTCCCTCCCCCTCCCAGAAAGGAGGAGGGGAGGAGGAGGGCAGAGGAGGGAGGGGGAATGGAGGTGGTGGTGGTGGTGGTGGTGGTGGTGGTGGTGCAGATTGTTGGGGCCCAGAGCGCTCTGGAACCGGCCGCGGCGCCCGACACATCCTCCAGACCTGCTGACTCTCAGAGATCCCGACCCGGAAGGGTCGCGCACAGGCAGCCGCCCCCAGGCAGTCCTGGCTGGCGTCAGCGGGCCCCCCGAGTACAGGGCCGGCCGGGGTCGACCTACACTGTGTTTTGGCGATTTCGTGGGCCGTTTTCGTTTTGACTTCGTTTTGCAGCAAGGGCGGATTGAAGACAAAACGAGGGTAAACAAAAATAAAACGAAAACGAGAAACACTGTTTTGGTCGAGCCCTGCCCGAGTAGCTCCAGCTGGCCTCAACAGGCCCCTTTCCCCTAGTAGCCCGGGGTGCTCTCGACATCTCCACCCCTGGGGGAGCGGCTGGAGGCGGCGCCAGGGTATTGAGACCGCCCTGGACTGCTCGGGGGGCTTGTGGAGGCCAGCTGTGAGTATTCCTTGGCATCGCTCGGACGTGTGCATTTTTTTTTTGGCGAGAACCACAGACAAGCATTTTGGGCGCCATCTTGCGACAAAAAACACACACACACACACGCACACACACGACATCGAAATATGCACAGGGAATGGACGTCCGAGCGATGGCTAGATTCGAGAGGTCTGTTGGGGCCAGCTGGGACTGCCTGGCGGGGCTGGCTGTGCGCAACCCGAAGCCTCACCAAAGTTCGGCGGCGAGCAAGGGGGGGAAGCGATAAGGAAAAAGCCTTCTCAGGAGGCGGCGGGGCTTCTCGGAAGGCCTCGGGCCTTCTGAGAGGTTCTTCGGACGAGGCCCAGAAAATTTCTCAGGAGGCCGGGAGACTTCCGAGCCTTCTGAAAAGGCCCACCCCTTCTCTCTTCCACCCAGGCTCGCCGCCGAAATACATCCTCATCCGCATTTATCCTCATCTTGCCTTCGTCTTGCAGGGGAGCTCGCCGGCGCGGGCCACACTGGGACTGGGGCGTGTCGCGGAGCATGCTGCCAGGGCCGGGGCGGCGCCGGTGCCAGAGCAGCTGGTGGCGCCCGCCGAGGCGTCGGAGAGCTCGGACTGCCGCTGGAGGACGCAGAGGATCACAGTGGGAACAGTTATCGATGCCGCTACCCTTGCCTCGTTTTCGCCTCTCTGGGCCTCCTGGGAGGCCCTCGTCGCCACCGCTGGATTCGCCTCGAAATCTTGGTCAGAACGCACTCCTGGAGAGGTCTTGGGAGTAGCTCAGGGGCAACGTGAACGTTAGGCGGGAATAGGCTCAAGAGGGAGCGCATCGACCCCCAATCGTCCATTCATCGCCGATAGGGGCCTGGCAGCCCACCCAGGCCCAGGAACCTAAGGTTTTGCTGTCGCGAGCCTATCGCAGGTCTGTCGGTGATGCATCGCCGATGCCAGCTCGATGTTTCCGCCCCCTGAGCCAGTCCCCCCCCTACAGTTGCCCCTCAGTATCGGAGGCGTCCAAGAGGGGGGTGACGATTAAGAGGGGGGGTGATATGTCACCGCACCGTTTTTCCGACGCGCGGCCTTGCGTCTTGGGCAGGGCGCCGCAGGCACCAAGGCAAACGCCGCATCAGCCGCAGAACGTCTGCCATGGGGTGTGCCGCGGTGCCGGCTGCGTTTCCTTGGGAGAGGGACGCAGGATTTGCTGTGGGTTTGCTGTGGTGTTGGTGGCGTCCACCTGGGCGCGTCGAGAACAACCGGCGCGGCGACATATCATGGCGTTCGAGCTTAGCGTGCCGTGTTGGGAGCCCTTCACCGACATTGGCGCGTAAACTGCCCGCGCATGTTCGCGCTTCAGCGCCCTCGCCTCCTATGTGGCGTGCCGCGCTGGCGGCCCGCGTCAGCCGCCGCGAAAGGTCGCTGTGTCGTCTCGCGTGTTGCCCCTTTTGGTTCGTCGTCCAGGTGGCTCAAGCCGTATCTTCTGCTCCTTCCGAGGAGGCGCCGGGAGGGCGCCCGCGGCGCTGCCGCGGGCAGCGGCGGCGGGCCCAGGCCGCGCGCGGAGGACCCGCCGCAGGCAGCCGCAGCACCCCCGCAGCTGCGGGTCAGAGTGGGGCGGGGGGGAGGGGGGGCGGCTCGCGGGGTGGGTCGCGGGGGCGGTTCGCGAGGGCGGCTCGCGGGGGTGACTTGAGGGGGGGGCTCGCGGGGTGGGTCGCGGGGGTGGCTCGCGGGGGCGGGTCGCGGGGTGGGTCGCGGGGGCGGCTCGCGGGGTGGGTCGCGGGGGTGGCTCGCGGGGGTGGCTCGCGGGGTGGGTCGACAACCATCATTTTAAGACTGTTCGCTCTTATCTGCTCGGGTGTCCGTTAACTCGTACTTCCCAAACCCTCGATACCCGCCCTTTTCGTTTTCGATCGTACCCTTTTTGGGGGGTATACTTCTCTTCCCTGCAGGCCGGGTCCCCGCAAGCGGCGGGGCGGCCGCGGACCGTCGGCCTGGCAAGCGGCAGCGCTGATCGGCGGCAACCCGACCCCAAGAGGGACGGACAGGGGCCCGACCACGACGACGACGTCGACGACGACGACGACGTCGACGACGACGGCGACGACGACGACCGAAATCGAGGGCGAGAGAGAGAACGACAGCAGGGCCACAAAGGGCACGAAGTAAGCCACGAAGGGCGACAGCGGGGACACGAAGGGAATGCGTATGGGGCCACGAAGAGCGCGAACGAGCGGGGGCCACGAAGGGCAGATAATGCGGGGGCCGCAGAAGGCCTCTCAGAAGGCAACGACGGGGCCACTGAGGGTAGCCACTGGGCCACGTAGGACAGCGAGGGGATCAAAAAGGGCGACAGCCGGACCACGAAGGGCATGCGCATGGGGGGGCCACGAGGCGCGAACGAGCGGGGGCCACGAACCGCATGGTTTTATTGGGGCGCGGAGCGCTGCAACGGGGCCACTGAGGGATGCAACGGGGCCACGAAGGGCAGCGAGGGAGCCACGAAGGGCGACATCGGGGCTGCGAAGGGTATGCGTATGTGGGGCTATGACGGGCGCGAACGAACGGGCCACGAAGGGCATACATTTACTCTCCACTCGTTTAAATTAGATATCAGATTGCGACCTAGTTTAGCCGAGATCTATTTTCACCGAGTCTAGTTTTACCGAGCCGGGACTCGAATACTAAAAACAACGTTTTGTATGTCTGGGGTCAGACCCGGGTCAGTCCAGGGTCACTCCAGGGTCCGAAGTCGGTCCGGGGTCAGTTCGGGGTAGGTCGGTCCGGGGTCAGTCCAGGGCAGTCCGGGGTCAGTCCGGGGTCAGTCCGGGGTCAGTCCGGGGTCAGTCCGGGGTCAGTCCGGGGCCAGTCCGGGGCCAGTACGGGGTCAGTCCGGGGTCAGTCCGGGGTCAGTCCGGGGTCAGTCCGGGGTCAGTCCGGGGTCAGTCCGGAGTCAGTCAGTCCGCGGAGCCAATCCGGGGTCAGTCCGGGGTCAGTCCGGGGTCAGTCCGTCCGTTGTCAGTCCGTCCGGGGTCAGTCCGGGGTCAGTCCGGGATCAGTCCGGGGTCAGTCCGGGGTCAGTCCGGGGTCTGTCCGGGGTCAGTCCGGGGTCAGTCCGGGGTCAGTCCGGGGTCAGTCCGGGGTCAGTCCGGGGTCAGTCCGGGGTCAGTCCGGGGTCAGTCCGGGGTCAGTCTGGGGTCAGTCCGGGGTCAGTCAGTCCGGGGTCCGGGGTCAGTCCGGGGTCAGTCCCGGGTCGGTCCGGGGTCGGTCCGGGGTCGGTCCGGGGTCGGTCCGGGGTCAGTCCAGGGTCAGTCCGGGGTCAGCCCGGGGTCGGTCCGGGGTCGGTCCGCTTCACGGATTTTGCTGTTACGACGGTTATAATTCATTTTGAGTGACGATGCTAACTAGTTGCGGGTGGTGTCTCATATCATATTATATCTCGGGTTACATCATCCGCTATTTTTTTTGTTTTTTCTCAGCGGTTTGCGATGTGCAACATATCGTTTTCTATCTTTTTGTATCTTTTTGTATCTTTTGAGCTTCTTGAGCCCTGCCCACGTGCCAAGCGTCGGCGGTTCGATCCAACGGGGAGCGGCGGTGGAAAGGGGTGAAATGAAATGAGGGAAACAGTGATGATGCCGTGCCCTTTCTCGCTTTACATGTCCTTCTTGTCCCGCCCTCACGTGCCCAACAATCCAGCGCGGTTTTAAACGCCCCTCCCTCCGCCCCGCCCCGCCGCAGGCCCCGCGGTGCGTTCCGCCGAAGGCCGCATTGGCCCATACTCCACATGCCTGCGTTTCTCCCCCCTCCCTGTCTCCACACGCCCCCCGCCCCACCCCGCTCAGTTCGACGCACCTCTCACGAGGATCGTGCCGCCGCGTGGGGTTTGATGCGTACAGTTACGTTACCTTTAGCATCATATTATTGGGTCCTTCGCCACGATGTGTTTTCTGTAGGTGTTTCGGTTCTGGCGTTTCTGTAGGTGTTTCGGTTCTGGCGGGATGGAGCCGCCGAGGAAGCGCCCTAATTTAT